GGCCCAACCCGCCCCCCTAACCTGGGACAGTGGTGTTACAGTACAAGCACATGTTTGTGAGCGCTCAACCCTTCCCGAAAGCTGGGACATTGGTGTAACAGTACAATATAAGAACAACCTGCACAAATCAATTGCAATTAGATTAACTCAACAGATCGGTACGACTCGGTCACACAAAAAAAAACAACTTACATATAGACAATAGACACAAGGCATGCCTAGACACAAAGCACCGAAATAAGAATATTTGCAATTACTGGAAGTTTGTTCAAAGCTAATAACAACTAGTACTGAAATAAATCTTGTTCTCCCAGACTGAAGTATCAATCAGTACACAACCAACGGATTTATTTAAAAAAAAAAAGAAAACAAAAACAGTCTGAGAAATGTCTTGTATACATTGTATACTTGCATATTGATACATATACAATGAAAATTTTTGAAAAGTGGTGGTCCGATTGTTTTGACCATCGAAATTTTGCAATAGAAATAATAGTTAGGACCAGAAGATTTTCTTCAAGGACCACCAGAGAAAAATGATTTTGAGAACTTTCCGATAGCTTTGCTTTATACAAAAATATTCCAGTTTGGTAACTTTAAAAAAATTGGATAGACAAGATGTCCGTTTTGATCATATTCGAGACAAACATTGACGAATTTTTGTGCAGTTTAAGATTATTCTTAAAAATCAAATATGGGGGTTTAAGCCAGATTTGTCTAGCAAAATTGAGTTAGAGGAAAGAACAAAGAAAAATGTCACGAACAGAGCACACTTTTACAGTCATGTCTACCGGACGTATCTTTTCTATAAAATCATCGTAAACTTCAATTATGTCATCCAATATAACAAAAATCTGCTATATTCGACGGCAAATTGAATTTTTGTTTTATTGATCTTCCGTAGAATATCTCCAGAAGAGGTCCAGATTCATTTTTTTGGACTCTTCACCAGAAGACATTCTGGAGATGTGCAGAAGAGACCAATAAAACACGCCCCTGGTGTAATTTCTCTCGATCATGCTATTTTATTCCAAAGGAAATTTCCATTTATAGGGACTCGCATGTTAAAAAAGAGCATGTCTGGTTGGTATTTCGCACAAACGTGTCCCCCAATGATGACTGATGCTCAAAATCCAAAAACGATTTTATCTTTATGAAACACAAAATGCACGTAAATTTTATATATATATATATATATCTAGTGGATGCCAGGCCTTTAACTTTTTCAACTGCATTGGTTAGTATGTACTCGGAGCAGTTTTCGAGGTGTAAACACACCCATTTTTGTCCATTTGTTATGATGAACCGCAAGTGTGATAAAAATTAACGGCTTTTGACTTGTGTGGACAGGAGGATCTTAGAGGAGAGGAGACGGACCGAGGTCTAAATTGTGTATTTAAGTACAATTTTCTTATGTTTACCCCCTTACATCCTTTGAGAAATGTTGGGTCCGCCCACCCTGGATTGGGATTGACATATACGGAAGTTGTATGCGTTATCCATTTGCAAAAAATGTATAGTAAACAAAACAGAAAACGGCTAAATTTCGAAATAGAGTACGGCATTTGTATATTAATGATGGATAATTTATGGTGTGGGAAACACTGAAAAAATGGGAAACATGCAAAGTAAAATAATTTACCCTTTACTGTAAAATTCAATTAACCAACCGATAATCGTAATGTCTGTTATACTTAGCAATATTACTGTAAGTTTATCTTTCATTTGGTCCATTAATTTGTTGTTTCACAGTGAGCGTCTTTTCCGTCTAAATTTTCACGTGCAACGACGAAGGTCGACTCGACTCAATATTTACATGAAAGTGTAATATCATTTGAAGACATAAATTGATAGATTGCATCTGAATTTGATCGTAGACCCAATTAGATAAAAAAAAAATATCTACCAGCGTAAAAAAGTTTTGAACAAAAATATTTATCTGTGTATTTAAATGGGTTTACATGGTATACTGAACATACTTCGCTTCGGCACCGAAAATTCCTTTTTTTTGTGGGCGTGTGTGGACGGGCGGGCGGGCGGGCGGGCTTGTGTTGTTGTTTTCATTAAAATTGTTTGATTTTAAATTTCTTTAAAGTATATAATTTGTTTCAGTAGTAAGAAAGGATGTGGAATAAATAGTTGGTTTCATATGAAAATTATGGAAAAAATCAATTTAACATTTAACATGTTTAAAATACAAAGTCTTGTTCCGGTATGCTTTTATTTATTGTCGGACACTTTTTGAAAAAGCAATACCATTTTCTATACCTATATACTCAGATAAAATCGAAGAAAATCCTATAAACACATTTGATGAATAACAAACCGAAACATATGTTACATGTTTAGTTTTTCCAAATAAATATATTCTTTTCCGAATCAATATGTCACTTTTGCCCTTTTTTGTTGAAAAACAGACAACTGAGTGATATTTTCACAACTTTAAATAAATATGTGTGTCGCTCTATTGCATTTAAGTAACAGCTGTAAATAAAGATAATCCAAAAGATACAAACAAAGCCCTTCAATCTATTGAATTTGCATAAAATCCATACACGTAGAGACCTTCTCTACCGGACGTTAGAAGTGTGTATATTAATAATCTTTATTTTCATATAAATGGAACACGTGTAATGACAAAATATGCTAATACACATGTTTTCATATAACAAACATAAACATCAGATACATTTGTTTATAAACATGTTATTATTTTGTCAATTGTGTTGCTACAGCTATAACTTATTGTATATACATTCAGCATGATGTTGAAATGTTGCCATGTATATTAACTATCAAACTTCCTACATGCATATAATGAAGCTTATCTCAGCTAACAGTTCAAATTAAAGTATAGAACTTATAAGTTTGATTGATTGTTGGTTGTTTAACGTCCAGTGGCAAATATTTCATGCATGTCCAGGACGATGAACTTATTAGAAGATCGAAAATATCAAAATAAATGTGTTATCATTAATGCATCAAATTAAATAGCAAAATTTAACAAATGCATTCGTGATATTAATTGTTCAAAACGACATATAATTTTTACTGAAATCTACGAAAACATTTTTTTTATAACTTCATTAACATATTAACCCACCCGTGTGTACATAATAAATGTATATGATAATGTTTGCACTTTGTGTTAATAAATCCATTAATTAACTAACTAAAAATAACCTACCTCTATCTACTAGGACACTTCGATAATAAATAACATTCCCAACGCAGTTGCCATAGGAATGACCTCAGATTATTTACATAATTAAAGCCTTCATTGCCATCAATTACTAGAAATCACTAATTGCATTTATGAAGTGTCAATGGTGACAACTTTAACGAAATTGGTGTAATTGCATTATTTCACGAGAGTAATTACACTGTACACACATTCAGGTAATGTAATTTGCGATGTCAAAGAGTCACCACGTGAGAGTCACACACCTATTGTGCAAACAACCACATTGTGTAACGTAATAAGCGAGTGCATAATTCTGTTTGTAATGAGCATATCCAAGTAATTAATGAAATACTTTTCATCTGTCATGTCTGATGTGATTTATCTCCGTTTAAGTGTTAACTTTAGTGTGCCTTAAGAATATATCGATGCATAACACATATTTAAAAAATTTAAAATAGCCAACTGTTTTCTGACTTGTTCACATGCATAAATCACAAGATTAGCCACCATCAATCTAACAATAACAGTCATTTCCTATTCCATGATTCGTTTATTGTTTCTGTACTCCTATTTTCCTCATGTACGTGTAAAGTAAAAGGATGTCAGTTACTTATTAGATTGAACGGATAAGCACAAGAACATAGTTGATCTACAAATTAAAAAAAATCTTACAATATTGCCATTGAAATCATAAAGTTTTCACTTTTTAAAGTCGAATGTTAACTTTTAAACTTGAGCTGTTTTCTTTTTTATTGTTTTAAGAGTCGAAAGTTTAATGTTTAAAATCTTTAATAGCAATTTAAAATTTCGACTTCAACCTACGATTTTTTACTTTCAGATATTATACTTTATAATAATTAGACATTTGTACATTTTCAATTGGTTAAGAGAACGATAGATTAACTCTGAAGAGAGGGAGGGTTAATCCTGATTGACAATTTTGAAGAAATAAACTATTTTGAACAGGGAGAAGGGGAAACCAATTGTAATTCAGACCTCTTGTCATTTCACTTAATGTTCAATTCTTAAAAAAAAATAATGATGGTTTCGTGGTACAAAATTAAAAAAAATGGGCATATGAAAAACCCAAAAGCCTCTCGAAGTTAAATGGTCGTTCCCTTAGGTAAGGTCATATCTCCTTTTTCAATTGATTTGCGTTAACTTAAATTTTAAAAACATACTATATGAAAATAAGGAGATGTGGTATGATTGGCAATAAGACAACTATCCACCAGAGTTCAAATGAAGTGAATATAATCAATTATAGGCCTCCGTATGTATACGGTCTCCAACAATGAGAAAAAACCCACACAGTTTAGTCGGCTGTGAAAGTCCCCGACATGAAAATTGCAAAACGAGAAATCTAAAGGCTTTATTTATAACAAAACAATTTACAAAAAACAAATATGACAAACATGAACCAACGGCAACCACTAAACTACAAGGTCCTGACTTGGGACAGGAACATAGTTACAGAATGTATAGTGGGATTAAAGCGCTCAACCCTTCCCTAACGAGGGACAATGGTATTGTGTTGGTATTTTCGATGTTTATGTCCAAAAGATGTTGTTTAACTTTAAAACGATCTTTAAAAGCAGCGATCAATTGATCGAAATTTTGTTTCTTGCCATCAGAAATGGTATCATACCAAATTTTGGCATGACCATCCAAATGAAAAGGAAATGACTCTGCACTTTTTTTCTTTGACAAATCATAAAAACTGCAATATTGATTAAAATTAGTTAACCAAGTTTCTGGATTTTGAGTGTTGTCACCTTTAAATTTTTCAATTTTCAAAATTGATGACATATTAAAAATGTTCATAGAAGGTTGCACTGTCCTACCTGATGAACTAGTTGATGTTGTCGTTGATATTGTTCCTGGTATTGTTGTGGCTGTTGCTCCTGCTGTAGCAGCTGTCGTTGTTACTGGAACAATTGCCGATGACACTACTGTTGATGTTGACACTACTGTTGATGTCGTAGATGTTACAGTTGGTGCACTTGTAGCAGTTGTAGCAATGGAAGCTGTAGCTATTGTGGATGTTGGTAACTTAGGATACAATGACGCAAATTGCTGTGGCGTTTGTAAGAGCGGATTTACTGCAACAGGTGCCGGTTTCTTAGATAATGACGAAGGTAAAACTGGTTTTTGTACGATGGATGGTCTCAATGGTCTTATAGATGTTGGAAGCGTTGGTTTTGCCCACGGTGTTACAAAAGGATTGAACTGTGAATGGATAGGCGACGACTGGTGAAATGGCTGGTCGTCCACTTAAGGAATGGTGGTGTCGTTATCACAGTCGTCGGGTGTTTGACTTTTTTCTGAAAGATGACGCTGTCGTCGTGATGATTAAAAAAGATGTCTATATCCAAACCTTCTAAAGCGGAGTCTAGTTTGTTGTGGATCTGTTGTTTATAGTTGTCAGGTGTCTTTCCTGGTTTAGCTGTTTTCTTGTCTAAACATGGTCCTCTACCATTATATTGTGTTGGTATTTTTGATGTTTTGATAACCCGACAATTGTAAAGCTCTGTGGCACAATCTAGGGTGAGGCTCACGGTAGAAGGCCGGAAACAACAACAGGTCAGAAAACCAAACTAGAATATCAAGAAACTCGCTATTAATTTAATAAAGAAATAATTACAATATAATTTCAAAGTCCAAAGTTTGAATGTCAAAATAAATTGAAAACAATAATAAAATACTACAAACAATTCAAATTAAATATCAAATAATAACAATAATAATTACTATTAAATTCAACTTTTGAATTAAAATATTAGTTACTTAAACACTTTATTTTTTTTTTCCAAAATAAAATTGTTTTAAGAGTCGAAAGTTTAATGTTTAAAATCTTTAATAGCAATTTAAAATTTCGACTTCAACCTACGATTTTTTACTTTCAGATATTATACTTTATAATAATTAGACATTTGTACATTTTCAATTGGTTAAGAGAACGATAGATTAACTCTGAAGAGAGGGAGGGTTAATCCTGATTGACAATTTTGAAGAAATAAACTATTTTGAACAGGGAGAAGGGGAAACCAATTGTAATTCAGACCTCTTGTCATTTCACTTAATGTTCAATTCTTAAAAAAAAATAATGATGGTTTCGTGGTACAAAATTAAAAAAAATGGGCATATGAAAAACCCAAAAGCCTCTCGAAGTTAAATGGTCGTTCCCTTAGGTAAGGTCATATCTCCTTTTTCAATTGATTTGCGTTAACTTAAATTTTAAAAACATACTATATGAAAATAAGGAGATGTGGTATGATTGGCAATAAGACAACTATCCACCAGAGTTCAAATGAAGTGAATATAATCAATTATAGGCCTCCGTATGTATACGGTCTCCAACAATGAGAAAAAACCCACACAGTTTAGTCGGCTGTGAAAGTCCCCGACATGAAAATTGCAAAACGAGAAATCTAAAGGCTTTATTTATAACAAAACAATTTACAAAAAACAAATATGACAAACATGAACCAACGGCAACCACTAAACTACAAGGTCCTGACTTGGGACAGGAACATAGTTACAGAATGTATAGTGGGATTAAAGCGCTCAACCCTTCCCTAACGAGGGACAATGGTATTGTGTTGGTATTTTCGATGTTTATGTCCAAAAGATGTTGTTTAACTTTAAAACGATCTTTAAAAGCAGCGATCAATTGATCGAAATTTTGTTTCTTGCCATCAGAAATGGTATCATACCAAATTTTGGCATGACCATCCAAATGAAAAGGAAATGACTCTGCACTTTTTTTCTTTGACAAATCATAAAAACTGCAATATTGATTAAAATTAGTTAACCAAGTTTCTGGATTTTGAGTGTTGTCACCTTTAAATTTTTCAATTTTCAAAATTGATGACATATTAAAAATGTTCATAGAAGGTTGCACTGTCCTACCTGATGAACTAGTTGATGTTGTCGTTGATATTGTTCCTGGTATTGTTGTGGCTGTTGCTCCTGCTGTAGCAGCTGTCGTTGTTACTGGAACAATTGCCGATGACACTACTGTTGATGTTGACACTACTGTTGATGTCGTAGATGTTACAGTTGGTGCACTTGTAGCAGTTGTAGCAATGGAAGCTGTAGCTATTGTGGATGTTGGTAACTTAGGATACAATGACGCAAATTGCTGTGGCGTTTGTAAGAGCGGATTTACTGCAACAGGTGCCGGTTTCTTAGATAATGACGAAGGTAAAACTGGTTTTTGTACGATGGATGGTCTCAATGGTCTTATAGATGTTGGAAGCGTTGGTTTTGCCCACGGTGTTACAAAAGGATTGAACTGTGAATGGATAGGCGACGACTGGTGAAATGGCTGGTCGTCCACTTAAGGAATGGTGGTGTCGTTATCACAGTCGTCGGGTGTTTGACTTTTTTCTGAAAGATGACGCTGTCGTCGTGATGATTAAAAAAGATGTCTATATCCAAACCTTCTAAAGCGGAGTCTAGTTTGTTGTGGATCTGTTGTTTATAGTTGTCAGGTGTCTTTCCTGGTTTAGCTGTTTTCTTGTCTAAACATGGTCCTCTACCATTATATTGTGTTGGTATTTTTGATGTTTTGATAACCCGACAATTGTAAAGCTCTGTGGCACAATCTAGGGTGAGGCTCACGGTAGAAGGCCGGAAACAACAACAGGTCAGAAAACCAAACTAGAATATCAAGAAACTCGCTATTAATTTAATAAAGAAATAATTACAATATAATTTCAAAGTCCAAAGTTTGAATGTCAAAATAAATTGAAAACAATAATAAAATACTACAAACAATTCAAATTAAATATCAAATAATAACAATAATAATTACTATTAAATTCAACTTTTGAATTAAAATATTAGTTACTTAAACACTTTATTTTTTTTTTCCAAAATAAAATTGTTTTAAGAGTCGAAAGTTTAATGTTTAAAATCTTTAATAGCAATTTAAAATTTCGACTTCAACCTACGATTTTTTACTTTCAGATATTATACTTTATAATAATTAGACATTTGTACATTTTCAATTGGTTAAGAGAACGATAGATTAACTCTGAAGAGAGGGAGGGTTAATCCTGATTGACAATTTTGAAGAAATAAACTATTTTGAACAGGGAGAAGGGGAAACCAATTGTAATTCAGACCTCTTGTCATTTCACTTAATGTTCAATTCTTAAAAAAAAATAATGATGGTTTCGTGGTACAAAATTAAAAAAAATGGGCATATGAAAAACCCAAAAGCCTCTCGAAGTTAAATGGTCGTTCCCTTAGGTAAGGTCATATCTCCTTTTTCAATTGATTTGCGTTAACTTAAATTTTAAAAACATACTATATGAAAATAAGGAGATGTGGTATGATTGGCAATAAGACAACTATCCACCAGAGTTCAAATGAAGTGAATATAATCAATTATAGGCCTCCGTATGTATACGGTCTCCAACAATGAGAAAAAACCCACACAGTTTAGTCGGCTGTGAAAGTCCCCGACATGAAAATTGCAAAACGAGAAATCTAAAGGCTTTATTTATAACAAAACAATTTACAAAAAACAAATATGACAAACATGAACCAACGGCAACCACTAAACTACAAGGTCCTGACTTGGGACAGGAACATAGTTACAGAATGTATAGTGGGATTAAAGCGCTCAACCCTTCCCTAACGAGGGACAATGGTATTGTGTTGGTATTTTCGATGTTTATGTCCAAAAGATGTTGTTTAACTTTAAAACGATCTTTAAAAGCAGCGATCAATTGATCGAAATTTTGTTTCTTGCCATCAGAAATGGTATCATACCAAATTTTGGCATGACCATCCAAATGAAAAGGAAATGACTCTGCACTTTTTTTCTTTGACAAATCATAAAAACTGCAATATTGATTAAAATTAGTTAACCAAGTTTCTGGATTTTGAGTGTTGTCACCTTTAAATTTTTCAATTTTCAAAATTGATGACATATTAAAAATGTTCATAGAAGGTTGCACTGTCCTACCTGATGAACTAGTTGATGTTGTCGTTGATATTGTTCCTGGTATTGTTGTGGCTGTTGCTCCTGCTGTAGCAGCTGTCGTTGTTACTGGAACAATTGCCGATGACACTACTGTTGATGTTGACACTACTGTTGATGTCGTAGATGTTACAGTTGGTGCACTTGTAGCAGTTGTAGCAATGGAAGCTGTAGCTATTGTGGATGTTGGTAACTTAGGATACAATGACGCAAATTGCTGTGGCGTTTGTAAGAGCGGATTTACTGCAACAGGTGCCGGTTTCTTAGATAATGACGAAGGTAAAACTGGTTTTTGTACGATGGATGGTCTCAATGGTCTTATAGATGTTGGAAGCGTTGGTTTTGCCCACGGTGTTACAAAAGGATTGAACTGTGAATGGATAGGCGACGACTGGTGAAATGGCTGGTCGTCCACTTAAGGAATGGTGGTGTCGTTATCACAGTCGTCGGGTGTTTGACTTTTTTCTGAAAGATGACGCTGTCGTCGTGATGATTAAAAAAGATGTCTATATCCAAACCTTCTAAAGCGGAGTCTAGTTTGTTGTGGATCTGTTGTTTATAGTTGTCAGGTGTCTTTCCTGGTTTAGCTGTTTTCTTGTCTAAACATGGTCCTCTACCATTATATTGTGTTGGTATTTTTGATGTTTTGATAACCCGACAATTGTAAAGCTCTGTGGCACAATCTAGGGTGAGGCTCACGGTAGAAGGCCGGAAACAACAACAGGTCAGAAAACCAAACTAGAATATCAAGAAACTCGCTATTAATTTAATAAAGAAATAATTACAATATAATTTCAAAGTCCAAAGTTTGAATGTCAAAATAAATTGAAAACAATAATAAAATACTACAAACAATTCAAATTAAATATCAAATAATAACAATAATAATTACTATTAAATTCAACTTTTGAATTAAAATATTAGTTACTTAAACACTTTATTTTTTTTTTCCAAAATAAAATTAAAAGAAAAATAATTTAAAATCTTAATTGTTTTCAAAATCAAGAGACTCACCTAGAATATCAAGAAACTCGCTATTAATATTATAGCGGCTTGATCAGTTTATATACTAATTTCTGAATGTCCTAGTAACTGCAACACACAAAATAATTTATGCTTTATGAGTTATAAATAAAGTTGCTGACGTAGGTTGACCGCTGTCTAAACTTCTAAGACCTTATGTTAAACTCTGCCAGACATACAACCGGAGGTCAGTCTGGCCTCAGCCGAAGTTTTATTGAACAGATAAGTTCAATAGTTTATTAGAGTACTTATCTGACACATTAGAAACATCCTACACCTCTCAAAGTATAGAACAGTTAAACAATAATTTTATATAAAATATTTTACACAGTAGATCTTACATACATTAACTAATAAACTGCATGAAATAAAATAAATTGCATTTTTCTATTACAATAATGGTATACCAGCACAATATAAATACAAAAGGTAAAAATCAGTTGCAATTGGCTTAACTCAAAATATCGATCATACGCACAAAACCAGCTAACATTAAAAACCATATATACACCAAGCACCGATATAAGAGTACTCACAGTTACTCAAAGCTAGTTAAAAGTCAATAACAACTAATAAATACATCATGTTCACCCAGACTAAACTATCAATTAGTACACGCCGAGCGGATTTAGTGCAAATCCGTCATAAATAGTCACCGCCTTGGCGGTATCGTGTTCACCTCGAGTGTAGGTGTTCATGGGTCCGAACCCGGCCGAGTCAAACCATAGACTTTAAAATTGATATTTGCTGATTTTCCGCTAAGCACGCGATATTAAGGAGTACGAGCAAAGACTGATCGGCTCGAAGTCAGAATAATTTGTCCAGGTAGGGTGACATGCTTTCCTGCGGACTGTTACCTTGTGAACTAGCACATTAAAAATATTGCTCAGCGTGTCGGTCTAATACAAAACAGCGTTAATATTCATATATCATTAACATGTTCTCGTCCTGAATATACTTTTAATTTGCCGCTGGACTTTAAGCAGCCATCCATCACCATCATCATCAAAAACAGTCTGAGAAACGCATGATCTGGTGCAATGCCAAAATATTAGTAAACAGTATCGACACGATGTAGGAGTAGTAAGTATTGTAATGTAAAATTGTGTTTTATATTGCTATTGTTTCATTTATGAAATATAAGGTATAGATTGTTGATGCTTTAAATTATAAAAGTAGATTATATCAATGCCTTTATGTCCAATATTTTGGGACATTCAATATCCAACCATAATTGACAATTTATCAGTTGTTAATTACCTCAGACCTAAATTGCACGTCTCTTATCCCAATTTCATAATCAAGAACAAGAATACTCTACAATCAATCGTCATACCCGATACAATTAAACTTAATGTTTTTCAAGCTTGTGCATTAAGGTCAATGCTCTAACATCCATTCTCAGTTTATATAATATTATTACATCATAATATTAAGTACCCCATTGACAACCCAAATGTAGATACTAAAATCAAAAACGTCAATAAATCAACAAATCAAATGACAAACTTATATCCAGCATTATACTAATTCGTATTTTTCTATTTCCCAGGTTCCACAGATTTACAAGACGTTGAAAAATTTTCGCCATCACAAATTTGGAATAAGTTATCAAATAATCACTTCGATATTGATTATCTCCAAAGTATACAATATTTATTATCATATGATTTTGACCCTTTTGAATCTTCAAGTTTGCAATCTTTTTGTTTAGATACCATTTCTAATAATCCAAGTATATATATCCCTAAATTACCACCTCGTATACACTTGCACATTGATTATTTTCATGAATTAAAGCAATCATACATAGCAAATGCCAATAGTTATTACCGTTAATCAAAATGGAAATCATCTGTAAGTTTAAAAATCGAACAATACTTTTATCTCAAGAAGATAATACGTTTATTAGTTTGTCAGAATATTTTAAAGCTTTAGAGCGCTTTAATGAGAATGAAGTAGACTTATCTTTATTTGATCTTTCTGCATTTCAAACGCTTAGACAAAAGGTAACACATAATTTGAATATTCCTCTCGATAAAGATATTTTAATTAAAATTGTTAAACTAGTTTCTTTTCTGAACATATCTGAGGACAATTTTAAACAATTATTACCATTTCCTCATATATCTATCCATAATATCCAATTGTTCTTACCGTTTATTCATTGTTTATTGATTTTACATTTCCCAAATATCGTAAAAGATTGGGCAATCAGAGGTAGACTTCCATTATCATTATTAACTGATCCTCTAATTTCCTACAATAAATTCAAGCGTGCGTATAGAAACGCAAAATGCTTGCATGAATATAAAGTTAAAATTTTAGCTCGGTGCCGTTGCCTTCAATCAAGGATTTGTATACACTATACAAATCCTTGCTTCAATGTACAAAATTCAGACATAATTTATCCTGGTATGACCAAGAAGCACCTTTTCATGAGGAAAATTATGTTCCTTGCTTTGCAATGCGAGGAAAGTTAATTAACTTTGCAAAAACATCTTAAAATACATGTATATTGACCTTGCTTGAATAGCATTTACATAACGATAATCGTTTGTTTTAAAATGTTCATTTAATCAAGGATCATAAAAAAAAAAATTACTATGTACAATTGTAAATAAAAAGGCCTTTTATTGTTCATAATGATTGTGTTATTTAATATATTGTATTACTCATGTTAAAATCTCATGTTTATATCGTATGACTTATTATATTCTCATTATACCATTGTATCATAATATATATATAACAAAAAAAAAAAAAAAAAAAAATAACAACAAGAAAGAAAAAAAAAAAGAAAAATAATAATAAAAAAAATATATATTATTCCTCTTATATGTAATATTCTTTTTCTCAATATATGTATGTATAATATTTTAATATATGATTGGTGGAACAATCATCTTTTAAAGGGAGGGCAATTATTGTAATGTAAAATTGTGTTTTATATTGCTATTGTTTCATTTATGAAATATAAGGTATAGATTGTTGATGCTTTAAATTATAAAAGTAGATTTGACATGACTTTTGGACAAACTATGTTGTAAACTATTCATCTAACTATTCCTGATATTAATATAGATTATTGGTATCAATATGCTGTTATTAAGAATGGAAATTGAGTTTCTCAATTCCACAAAGACGGTTATATAACTTATTAGTCATTACAAGTTATAGATAAACAAATTTATAACAATTTCTATCATAATGAAAATCTAATAATGTATTCTGGGACAAATAGCAGATGCGACATAAGGTTAATTAGTTTCTGTTTACTTGATGGTCAAATATTGTACACACATAAGATTAATACTAATTAAACAATTATCGTAAACATCTGGTTGTTTTGGCAATACTTCGAAATTCTATTAGTAGTGGTCAAGACATCAAAGATAATTTGATAATCAGTAATTACAATAAAGTCTATAAAAGCCTAGGTTTACAATTTGTGTTCAATTCGAACACTTATTGTATTCTAGGTAAGTTTGAAATAATTTGAAATAAACTATTTATTCTTAAGATAATTTCTAAAAGTTAAATTTATTTATTTTTCATTAAAGAAAGTTTTTAGATCATAAGTACTGTATTCATTATAACTGTTTTATTATATTAAGAACAATTAAAAATGTATGTTTCATTTTTATTAATGTTTCAATTTACAAATACTTTGGAAAAAACAATGTATTAAATAATAACTTATATTGTAATGTTTTAACTTTATTCTTCATTAAACAATTCGAACACTTATTGTATTCTAGCTTTTCCTGTTGCTGATTCCGGCCTATCTACCAATTGATTGTGACCAATTGATTGTGAGTTTGTTTCCCCCTCATTGTGACATACATTGAAGGATGTGAAGAGGTAAGCGAAGACCACCTCCGATTTCCTGCATCTCAGAAGAGTCTATAGAACTAAGGACATTGGAGTTAGTGCTCTTTGTATAGACAAAAACAAATAGTATGTTAGGATGTTATTTGATAAAAGAGCGAAATAAGGCCATAACCAAGAAGAACCTTAAAATAAACAGACCCAGATTTAAGATGATAAACAGTTCACACAGATTGTCGAAGCATAACACCAGTACAATTATTGACCGATTAATGTGCTCGCCAAAATTATGAAAGTAGCAGCAAGAAATGACATCTTGGAAGTGAAAGCCTTCTTCATCATGTTCATTATATTGATGTTATTAATTAATGAGGTGTGGTTTTAATTGTCATTTGATTGTCAGATAAGTTGTAAAAAATTCGAAATGCCAAGTTTAATTGGCCTTTTATTCAAGAAAACCTAGAGGTATTGAAAATTATTGCAATTTATATCAATAAATGTTTTGAACTCACAAAACTATCAATATAGTGCAGATATGTTTATATGTAACCCATTAAGAATATTTGCCTGTAAATATTATATATAACTTATTAAAGTGAGAATTGAAACGGGGAATGTGTCAAAGAGACAACAACTCGACCAAAGAGCAGAAAACAACCCAAGGCCACCAATGGGTCTTCAACACAGTGAGAAAATCCCGCAACATGAGGCGGGCTTCAGCTGGCCCCTAAACAAAAATGTGTTCTAGTTCAGAGAAAATGGACGTCACACTTAACACCGAAACATATAGATGAACCAAAATAAAAAAAAAACATACAAGACTAGATAAGGCCAGAGGTCCTGACTTGGGACAGGCGCAAAAATGCGGCGGGTTGAAAACATGCTTTGTGAATCTCAACCCCCCTATACCTCTAGCCAATGTAGAATAAACAAACACATATAGCAATACGCACAGTAAAACTCAGTTTAAAAGAAGTCCGAGTCCGATGTCAGAATAGGTAACAGAAGAAACCAAGCAAAATGACATTGATTAACATAAATTAACAAAGGACTACTAGCAGTTACTGACATAAAAGATGTTATGCCTTTTTACTTAAAATTAAGAATTGAAAAGGGGAATGTATTGTGTTGTATTTTGTGTAGATATTATGGTATGTAAAACCCGACAATTGTAATGCCTTTTTGGCACAATGTAGGGGGAGGCTCACGGTAGGAGGCCGGAACAACAACGGAAAAGAAAACCAATCTAAAATATCAAGAAACTCGCTATTAATTTAATACATTAAACATCATAATAATTATTTTCAGAACCAAGAGACTCACCTAAAATATCAAGAAACTCGCTATTAATGTTATAGCGGCTTAATTGCTTTATATACTAATTTCTGCGTGTCATAGTGAGCCTTATCTATTATCTTAATCTGTAATTTCTAACCCAATTAAATAAGAATGCCTAAATATAGTTGATCATTTTGACCATTGTCCATAATTTATGACATGATTTGTCAACTTTTATCAAACAAAAATTAAGTAATATTTGTACTAACAGAAAGTCAATTTGACCAACGTGAATTTTACTTGAACTAAAACCTATTTGCTGTTTCTTACACTCACAATTTGAACCTGAAAGTTTGGCTTTTAAAGTATATAGTAGTTAAACAATAATTGTTTATAAAATATTTTTCACAGTAGATTTTACATGTATCAATTAGTAAACTATATGAAATCAAATAAACTGCATTTTTCTATTACAATAATCGCTCTCCCTTTGAAAAGCTCCATGCCTCAATTAAAATGATTGAAAGATTATGTCTTCATTTGATGAAAATCAAGCACAATCCATCCCATTAAGGGTTTAGTTTCATACCATCATAAAATATATGAGAAGAACATGACCCGTATCATGCCAACAACTGGTTTTAGAATAAATGTGTTTATTTCCAATGCAAAGACCCTATGAGTGAATCAATATTAATTCCAAAATATGCCATCTTTAATGACCTGACAACAGTATCGTAACTATATCCCTTCTGAATAAGTCTGTTTAAAGATTTGGTTAGCTTTTGAGGTGAATGACGACATTATTTTATTCATCAATTTCAACATCATCTTATTATTTCTACTAGACGTTAACAAAATAGGACAAGACGTTACATGTACAATGCATATGAAAAATAAACCAACCTAGGATTTCATCGAAAAACAGTAACTGCTGTACTACTAGAGATATGGTATTTTACGTCACACACTTATACACACTTTTTATTATTTTAAATAGAAATTTTGGCTCACTAATTTTAAGTACTTATTTAAGTTATGCAGAACTACCAATTTCATTTCAGCACTGCCCCATATATAATACTGGATAGATCTATTAATTCGGATTTATGCATACTTGTAAACATTCCTTTATGATATTTTGGCTTGGGGCATTTGTGTATTACACATACTGTGCTTACATCCCTTGGGAAAGAGGAAGAACTACACAAATCATGTACAGTAACTAAATTGGTCTGCCATTCCATTTAAATCTCTCACGTACAACAGGTGGTTCATTCCTCCTATTCCCACTTTTTATAAATCTGATAAGAAAAGTTAAAATTTCATAAGGGAATAGGGGGAAAACGTGTGCAAACAAACTTAAGGGTTATACTGTATAAACATTGTTTAATCAACTTTTAATTGACAAGTGTTTTTTTTTTGATAGGTAATAGGTTATTTTTGTGTGTGTATGAATTCTGTGGTGTCCAGTTTAGTACAGTAACCCAATCAACTTAATCGCTGTCTAGCAAATTGTCTGAAAATTGATTGAATATATACGTATAGTTTCTATGTACTAGTACTAGAGTATATATCTTTCATTTGACTTTATGTCCAAGAATATAGTCATTATTGATTATACCTTATGTACATACAACTGAGATACTTTATTATGCCAATCACGGCGCCCATTACTGAACAGAATAATCATTTTTACAAAAAACAATATATAATATTTTGAACTAAATAAATAAATGAAAAAAAAACAATTTGTTATTAATGATTAGTTTGATTGTTATAAAATACATCAATTTAGAGTTTTTTTCTGAATGGGTTACACCGGTTGACCCGGAGTCGATCGGCGTAAACGGCGTTATCTAACAATCGGTTCTTTAGCTGGGGTCACACACGATTTTTACTGCACTCAAATTATTCAATTACCCTATGGTAAAAACAAATTATTTAAATGCCCAAAAAGGCGCAAGCCAGGGCCGACCGTGCGAGGGCTGTATAGCCAGTCAAGGTCGTTAAAAACTCCCATCATCATCATTTTTACTGCCGTGCTTGACAGGACCAATACCGACTAAAATTTGTCAAAAGTCTGATCAAAATCCTGTGAATCGTGGATGGAAATTCAAACTTTTAATTTTAAATTTGTAAAAAAAAATATTTAATCACGACAACAATCAGATATTGTTCAGGAAGCGTCAATATTCAACCATTTCCAAGCGAATTTGTCCCGATAATCCCGTTCTCAATCCGATTCTAATCCAATTTGTATCTTTCGCATGGTAAAAAACGACCGAATCTGTCCCGACAGCGTCCCGATTCTACAGAATGTAATCCGACAGAGATCAGACAGTGACCAGACAGTGAACCGTTGAGTACAATTTGGGGGGGGGGGGGGGGGGGGGGGGGGGGGGGGGGGGGGGGGGGGGGGGTAGGATGAAATTTAAAAAAAGGCAGGACCGTGAGGAGTTTTGAGTAAAAAAAAATAGGCAGGATGAGCAACTTTGCCCAAAAAAAAAGGCAGGATGACAATGTATGTTAAAAAAGTCAGGATAAACTAATACACTAATAAACTCCCCCCCCCCCCCATAAAAATCAAATGGTAGCTCGCTTAGTACATGACATATAGGAATTTTCTACGGTAAAACCAGGAGAGTTGGGTATTTACAGAAATCTATTGGGATTTCTCAACTAAAGAAAAAAACACTTTTTTATTTTAAATGGGGAAAATATACGACTTTTTATTTGCGACACAGTATAAAAATTATACAAGATGTGGTATGATTCTAAATGACACAAATCCTACACCTCATAGCAAGCCTTAAAAGGCACCGAAATGACAAATGTAAAACTTACGGCCTGAATTACGTACAAAACAATAAACGCAAACAAATATGATATACAGGTACACTTTGCATTTGAATTTTTGACTCCAAATTAAGATATTAACCCTTGTTCGGGCCTCTCTAATAGAAAATACAGACCAGTTATCATTTTGACCTTTATATATCAAATATTATATAAAAAATAAACTTGTAAGTAAAAAATTAGCAAGACGTAATTATGAGTAGACCAATAACTTAAAATTGCATCATATATAATTCATATAACTTATAACATTTCATTTTTTGTTCGTTCATCTAGTTCGTATAATTAAATCATTAGTATAGTTTAAAGTAAATGTGAAACTACAATTTGATTTTAAATTAATTTAACAATAAAACTAATCGATTACCGGTATATGAATAACAATGTCATCTAGCTAAAGTTATTGTTAAAATGTTTAATTGTCGTGTTTATTTCATAATACATGTACTTTACTATCACGTGATTTATAAGTAAGTGTTAAACAGAACAGGTACGTATTTGTTATTTACAAATAATAATTTTTCAGTTATAGATAGTTTGGTGTATCTTCTAAGGGATTTCAATACACCTTTGAATCAATTTTCTTTACTAAATGTTCAGCGGCAAATATTTTACCCACTTTCAGGACTATTAATGATACAACATACTTATGACAGTCTTTAAACCAGAGGCTTCGTGCGCAGGCGCTTGCATGTGTACAGGATTTGGATATTTTTCTTCTTCATTGCTTGCACTGAATAATAAATATTCTATGTTTGAGTTTATAATACGTATATACCGAACAGTTATATATGCCTTTACTTGTTTAAATTGTGGTATAATGGGATCAATAGTGTATTGACTTGACATAATAACGATATAAGGATTTGGCACACATTTTTCCTGTTTTTAAGCATTAGGTATCCTTATAAATATCGTGTCAATACACTATTGTTGTCTTTATCTGAGGCCCCAAGGGTGACTGGGGAATAGAAATATGGTCACTCTTGGTCTTCTACCGACCGGCAGTAAAACCTTTGCCATAGTGAGACATTCGTTTGGCTGTGCGGGACGTACAAGTACGCAGACATGTCCGGTCAGAGTGGGGACGTTAAATGCGATGCCTCGTGTAGAGAGTGCAACGCTCTCTGCACGTTAAGAACCATTGCACCAACTCTTTGATGGGACCGTAGGTGGCTTGTTGCAAGCAAAAATTTCCTTCCCTATCCAATATACCCTCGTTTTTCAGTTGCAGTTAAAATTTCCCTAACTGACCTTCATTCCGGATGGCCTCTTTTACAGGTCTATTACAGGACCTACCTATTGTGTTTATTGATAATTTGGTCGCGTCCTGAACATGCATGACATATTTGCTACTGGACGTAAGCAACAACCAATTAATCTATATCTGAGACTACTATATCACAGATATATGTAGTAGTGTGTTAAAATATAGTAGTCTCAGTCTATATCATATAGATATGAGGAAACTAATACCTTTATCTTAAAAGTAAATGACTTAGTTGGTTGGTTGATTGGTGTTTAACGCCACTTTCAGCACTATTGGCTATGATACATTTTGTTTAAAGTCGGGTTTGTAAAACAGAAAACACAAGCTTACAAATTACAAAAATGACAAAATAAGCAAGCTATTAAGTCCCCGGCCGACATGACAAATGTAAAACAATTCAAAGTGAGACAAAAACTTACGGCCTGATTTATGTACAAAACAATAAACGAAAAAAACAAATATAATTTACAGCAACAAACGACAGCCACAGAATTACAGGCTCCTGACTTGGGACAGGCACATGCATAAATACATGAGATATATCTTATTTGTTGCATTTTTTCTCCCATCTGTAATTCGATTAAAAAAGGGAGAAAAAACATACAGGTGAATCTTTTACTATTAATTAATATATTCAACTATAATATAACTATAAGTTTCACAAACATCAGATGATGATGCAATTTTATAGTACCCATTGCCTTGAATTTTAATATTGAATTTCTTTGTGTTATTTGAGGAAATATGAGATATTTCCAGTTTTTGAAATTTTCACTCAGACTCTGACGTTATTTACAAGTTATGTCCAAGAAATGATCTTGATCTATCAGTACTTTTCTTGTTTTATTACATCGATAAACAGAATGTTAATTTATAAGGTGTGCTGGTTGTACACATGTATTGGTCACTTTTTTGGAGAAAAGTATTCCTTAACTTGTTGAAATTGCACAGAATATAAAGAAACTTGATTAAAATTCCTAATATCATAACTGGTACATAATCGCAACTTCAAACCTATTTGTCAGCATGTGACGTATTTTACGATCACTAGAGTATTTTTTTGGGAAAGCTGCAGCGGAAGACAAGAATATGTCAACTTTTCCTTTTTTCGTACACTTTTTAAAAGTCATATATACTAATAAGCCTAGTAAATTTTGTTGACGCTGTCGTTTGATTTTTTGATTTTGTATTAATTTGATCTACTACACAAATGTTATATGGATATTGGCTTCATATCAAGCGGCAAATTAGATGTTTATAAAATAGGATAATTCATAGAAGTTATATCATAGCAAACTACGGGAGTTAACTGTTATTGTTCAAAATTGACTATTAATGCATCTCTTTTTTATGCTCATTCATTTATCTCCATTAAAAGTCTTATAAAAATTATATTAGTTGCAGCTGATATTTTATATTTACATTTTCATATATTTTCCTGCTCTTGATTGTTATATATTATAAAAAAAAATGGTTTTATTTTACATTTTTGATAATGACTTAAATTTCTCAAATACAACACGAACTATAGCCAAAACGGAAAGGGACAGTAATTTTTCCGCCTTTATAACAAAAATACGCATCGGTTGGATCTGGCTTTTTATCTTTGTTTTGATGCATATATTTTGATATATACAGTTAAATGGTTCATAGAGGTTTAAGCTGTGTAAAGCAATCTTTGCAAAATATAAAGTTCTTACGTACCTAGTAAGTAAGTTAGTGTTTCCTATTTGTAGTTTGTATTTGTAGTTTTCTTCAACAATTTACACCAAAAACATACTCAAATGTAGCTTATTTAATACAGATAAGAAAAAATCCTTTTAGCTTATTAACCATCTATGTGTTCCCCCTGCACACATTACCTTCCTAAATGACGCTTTGTCAATGATGTGTCACATGACCTAACGCAAGAAAGATTACGGTAAGGAGTTGGACATTTTTATTATCTACCGTTATTTTCCCCTAGCGATAGTTGACGTCTTTATACATTTCTTTTGACAGAGACATTTTTACAAAATTTTACTATTTCATTAAAGATGTTATTGCATAATGTCTGTCATGTTTCATTTAACCTTGACCTCATTTTCATGGTTCATTGGTCAATGTTACATTTACATAATTAGGTCTAATATAAGCAAGCGCTTAACTATATTTGGTGCATGTAATGATTATAAAGTGTACATGTCTGTGTAGCAGGGTTCATCTGACCTTCACCTTAGTTACATTGGTCATTGATAATTTTATAGTTCAACATTCATATTACACATTTTCAACATAAATTCAATTATTATAAAGTAAAGCAGGTGACACATTTCAGCGTGTGTACTCTTGTTCAAATAATATTCTTTTCAATATTAACAAGCTTTTTATTTATTTCTTATGTCACAGAGTGAAACTTTGTACATTTATTTCTTATTTAAGATCGGTATTTAATTGCCCACATTAATTTACTATGGTCAAGCGTGTTAAGTATTTGTAGATTTATTGTTTTCATGAACTTTAGCAGACTGTCTGATTGACCGTTAAATTTAATGTATGATGCAGCTGTGTTTTAACTGTAATCATTTCTAATTAGAAGCCGTATAATTTATGGTTCTGTTTGTTTATATTCTGTCCCTATACTTGTGTGATCTTGAGGTGAATATTATATGACGATTTAATGTATGAGAAAGTCATGAGAGTAGTGAAGGCCTTCACGATAATAAAAGTCGGTGAATGTTGAGATGCGGGAGAGTTTAAGATACATGTAGTTAGTGTTAGAGAATGGATGTGTCTCTATATTGAACAATGTAATTTAATGAAAGTGTATATATATGAACTTGTACATAATAAATATGTATATATGAAAATTAGTTTTTAAAGCCAGTGCCTTAGCATAGCTCCGTGACATTATGGTGGCCAACGACGGGATTTATTAGTATTTTATTCAAGGACTCAAGCAGGACATTAAACGATTCGTCATGTTATTCAATCCTACAACATTTGAAGAAGCGTTCAGATCAGCAAAAGAGAGGAATGCAACAATACTTTGACAAATCAGGACAGCCAAACAGTTGCATGCGCAATAAGTAATAACAATTTGGAGGACACCATCAATGATCTATCTGAACAAATGAAAGTGTTAGCAATAAAAATGAACGATATTCCTACGAGAGGAAGAGGTGGTTTTGGAAATCGTGGGAATAGATTTCAACAATCGAGATGACAAGGAAGAGGACGAGGACATGGAAGAAACAGAAACCTACATGCATCAGACGGTAGGCCAATTTGCAATTACTGTATGACCCGTGGAGAAATGTTGTAATGAGAAGAATTCTACTTATGCGTCGGGAAATAAAAAACTGCTTCCTTAATGGGAGGGAAGGCAGCAGAAAAAGGAAATAAATCCTCCTAAAGCATGTGAAAATAGGAATTTGAGAAATTCGTCTGTCGTGACGTCTGTTCTGAATGATGTGGAAATTAGCAATGAAAATTTTGTCTCGCCAAGGTTATTTCAGATGTTGTAAAGGAAAATGAAATAAATCCACCTAAAGTATGTGGAAATAGAAATTTCGGAAATTCGTCTGTCGCGACGTCTGTTCTGAATGATGTGGAAATTAGTACTGAAAAATCTTGTCTCGCCTAGGTTATTTCAGATGTTGTAAAGGAAAATGTTATTTCCTGTGAGTTAAATCCGAAGTTTTGTGTCGCCAAAATTTGAGGATAAGTAAATGCGAAAAGTGCCTTAATGTTAGTTGATACGGGATCAACAGTTAGTATTGTGAATGATTGCTTTGTTGATAGGAGGGATGTATCTTAAGTTAATAATGTATGTATCACTTCGGCATCAGGTGATAAAATTAATATCATTGGAATGGCAAATGTATAGAATTCAAGATTGGAATAGGTGTGATTTTGTGTATAATGTTTATGTAGCTAGTAATTTTTCTAATCAGTGTATTATAGGATGAGATATTCTGTGTGATTTTTCATGCAATGTAGATTTAGGATATAATTGTATTGTTTAATACATGTAATAATAAGGAATCTATCAATTTTGAATGTTAAGAGGAAGTTGTTTGTCGTCATGGGGCGCCAAGACAGTTACTTTCAGACAACGGAAAAAACTTTCGATCAAACCTTGTGAAAAAAATTTGTAAACTAATGAACACGAAGAAAACATATACATCAGCATACCATCCTGAAACAGATGGCTTGGTGGAACGTTTTAACGGAACATTAACTGCAATGTTATCAATGTATGTTAATGGACACCAGCGTGATTGGGACACGTTTGTTCCTTTTTTATTGTTAGCTTATAGAACTTTGTTACATGAAAGCATACAATACAAGAGACTCCGTTTTTCTTGATGCATGGCCGTGATCCAGTACTACCAGTTGAAGAAGCGATGTGTCCGCCTACTATTACGTATACCTCGAGTGACGATTATAAAGCAGAAATGGTGACCAGATTACAAGAGGCATTTACACTAGCCAAAGACAATATGCAAGCAACTCAGCGGAAGCAGAAAGAACAATATGACTTAAAGTCTGATGTAATAAACTATGCTATTGGTGATAAGATATGGGTCTTTAATCCGAGTACAAAACCAGGACTATCAACAAAACTGTTACACAATTGGCATGGACCATATGTGATAATTGATAAACTTTCAGATGTGAACTATAAGATTCAAACGTGTGATTCGAAAAAGTCTGAACAAACGGTACAGGTTAATCGCATCAAACAATTTGTTGATCCAGATGATAGGCCCATTATAGACGGAGAAGACATCGTTCCGAACATTAATCCAATTGAAAATAGTGACAATAAAATGGTGAAAATTTTTGATACAATGCGATCGCGAAATGAGTCTAAGAGATTAGAAAAACATTACTTTGTACAGTATGAGAATGGTGAGACCCAGTGGGTAAAGGAGGATGCTATTAAAGATTTTGCCATTATAAATGACTTTCATATTTCAAATGAGAACAATGAATAGACTTTGAATTTTGTTTAAATGGGTTAAAAAAAAAGAAATTTAATAAAAAAAAAAATATTGTGTATGTATATATATACCATGTATGAGTAAGAGTGTGTTTGTGTGTCGGGACGTCACAGTTAATTGTGGAGGTATGTCATAGAGTGAAACTTTGTACATTTATTTCTTATCTAAGATCGGTATTTAATTGCCCACATTAATTTACTATGGTCAAGCGTGTTAAGTATTTGTAGAATTATTTTTTTTCATGAACTTTACCAGACTGTCTGATTGACCGTTAAATTTAATGTATGATGCAGCTGTGTTTTAACTGTAATCATTTCTAATTGGAAGCCGTATAATTTATGGTTCTGTTTGTTTATATTCTGTCCCTACACTTGTGAGATCTTGAGGTGAATGACGATTTAATGTATGAGAAAGTCATGAAAGTAGTGAAGGCCTTCACGATAATAAAAGTTGGTGAATGTTGAGATGCGGGAGAGTTTAAGATAGTTAGTGTTAGAGAATGGATGATGTGTCTCTATGTTGAACAATGTAATTTAATGAAAGTGTATACATATGAACTTGTACATAATAAATATGTATATATGAAAATTAGTTTTTAAAGCCAGTGCCTTAGAATAGCTCCGTGACACTTATTTTAATTTTATATTGGCAAATACCAGTTTCTCTTGATTTTAAACGTGCTTTTTAATTAATTCTTCCATCTTTCTTTACTAGATATCATTATTTTTCAGTCTGATTAAAACCAGACTGATTTTTTTTTATTCTTCAAACTTTTTACAATTTCCCAATAATCTGTATTAAATATCGTCTCTCTGTATAATGTTTTTTTTTTCAATTTCACCATTTAAAATATTTTTATTAATATTTCTGCTTAAGTTGATTATTTGGACCTTTTTTAAAGTTTATTTCTCTCTTATTCTCATAAACACAATTGTCTGACACAAACCTGTCTATACGTTTTTCTCTTTGTTTTTAAACGTTTTGTTCTTTTACAAGATATGTCTGAGATATTTTCAAAAACATATATAACTTTTCTGCTGCACCATCAACCCTATTCTTATTTCTTTATAACCATTTTTTTCAAAATTTATTATATCACTATTATATGAACTTAAGTGAGTGCTTTAAGGAGCAAATTTTGTGAATTATCAGTCTACTTGTATCTCTTCATTTCATTTTTTGTTCGATATGACTATTAAGACCAAAAACTTGTTTGATTTGTACAAGATCTGCCAAGTAATTAAAACCAGTAGTTTTAAAATGTTGACTGAGGACAGGAGACTTTCTCTAATACATAATACACAGAAGTGTTACCATTTATTGCCATATAACTATAGTAACCAAGGCTGTCCCTAATAAATCTTCCATTTAATATGCGTAGCCTTCAGACAAGAGACAATTCTAATAAAGATTTACCTTGTACATTTACGACATAATCTTGAATTTTTCTGTTAATTTCAGTGTCTTCTTCTCAATAATCTAGTATTAAATGTTCAGCATCAAATTTATTCATTTGATGGGAATAATTTTTTATAACTCAGGAAATTGACAAGTCCTTCTATTTATGTCTCCTGTTAGAAATATTTTACCTTGTACTGCAAACGTACTGATCTCATTTTCTAACAAGCTATAATCGTTTTCAGAATAATTTGAATTTAAGTGAGGGGGGGGGGGGGGGGTGTCACGAACACAAATCTTCCTTGAAACCAAACTATCTTTGTTTTAACCACAATATGTACTGAGATTTTGTACCTTTTATTTGTTTATAACCTGTGCTATTTCTTTTTTGTAGTATATAATTATTTCACCACAATGACGACGTGCATTTTTTTGGTTATTATAAATAGTGTATTTACCCATTATTTTATAATCTGTACACTCCCCTTTCCAGGTTTCATGCAAGATATATTTATGTCACTTTGAATTCAATCTAAAAATAATTCATCTGGACCCCCCTCCCCCCAAGACCACACACATTCCCCTGTATCCGTATGTATCCGTTTTACTATATAAGAGATTTTTTGTCTGCCGTTGAGACTGCTGTTGCAATTAAATGAATTTTGCAATCGTATATAGCAGATTTTTATCTGTGTTATCTGTTGTTTCTGCAGAAACTGATGGCCGGTAATAAGGTGTTTAACTAAAGCTACATGATAATTTCTCTTTCAGTGTGACCAGTAAATGGACACAAATCATCATCGAGTATTACGGGCTAACCATCAATTACTTATTAACAGCATAGAATTATCAAACACAGATGTATTAGACATCCTTCAGGAAGACGAAATCATAAGCTCTGGGGAATGTGAGGAAATCCTATCCAATAAAACTAAGCGAGAACAAAACGCGAAGCTACTCTATATTCTAAAAAGGAGGAGTTGCAAAGACGGAGACCCTTATCCATCACTTTTGAGAGCACTTTCGAATGACTATGGTTTCATTTGTAAGGTATTACAAAAAGAGGACGAATCAATACAGCGGAGTTGTGTGGTACAAGATGTTAGTGATAATTTCACCTGCTTTCACTGCAAATTATTAAAGAATCTAAGACCTAAGGATATAACACATCAGTTGTTTGAAGATGAAGTTTTATCCGACGACGATTTGGATACAATAAATTCAGACACTACTTGTCGCAAGCAAGGGGTGAAAAAACTATTTGAAGTTTTAGGTAAATCCAGATTACCTCAAAGTGAAGTTGTAACATGTTTTGTTGCAAGTTTGAGGAACAAATATAATTACATTGTCACACAACACACGGTAAATGAAAATACTTTATACTCTTGCCATTGCGAACATTATGTTAGACCTTCATTAGAAACCTCTTGCACTGATCGTTGTGCTAATAAAATCAGCAAATTAAAATATCACTCTGAGGATGACATTTCTGCAAAAACAGGGCTGATTGCCAATCAGAAAAATTTTGAAACTGACGATGAAGATGATACTCATTGTAGAGGAATACGTGTACGCTCATCGACATCAAAGATTCGTAAAGAAAAAACAGTTTCTTCAAACGAAATTCAAAACTTAGCCCTCGTGAAAGATGTACCGAAATCCCTTCCAAACAACAAGAAGATGTTTCGTCTTTGCTCAAAGCTCTGGGATAAGTTATTCACTTTACGCGAAAAAGGAGACTGGGATCTATTTCACAGCGTAACCAAGGCAGCAAGACAAAAGTACATCGATAATACTGACATTCAAGTTCTTCTATATCGAAGCGATATGTGCATATCCACCTTCTATAATGACAATCGCAGAGATGCCATGGAAAGTTTTGATCAAGCTACCAATCTGATTTCTTCCACATCAATGCCAGTTTGGCACCTAGCTAGACTTTTACCACTCAAAGTTGAACTATTCACACGTTCAAAGCAATTTGACAAGGCATCTTCACTATTGAAAGAAGCACACCAATCGATGAGTAACTTGGTCCCTTGTCTTTCTACCGGCGCCGTGTATTTCTTTGAGGCTAATTATCTTGGAGCCATTCTTCGGTGCACACAAAATGGAACAAGATCGCTTTCTATTAGAGAAAGAGCAAAATACTGCTTTTTGACAGCAATAAAACATTACGAACAAGAGAAAATCTTCAAGATAAAATCGTTCTTAAACCAAGTTTATCTTTTTCTTGCGTTATTTGTTCTCGGTGTTGATGTAAGACAAATCGAATACATGTCTGTGTACAATGTTTCAAATGAAGATATCAGTTTGGCAGAGTTTTATTTAAACTTGTTTGAAAACAGTTGTTGGGATGAATCTACTAACTGGTCAAGGATGCTGTTTTACATCGCCCGGTCAGAACAGCATAAACAAAGACAAAATCTACAGAGGTCATTGGATTATCTTCACGATGCTCTAACCTGCGCAGTCAAAGGCGACTATCTGAAACAGAAAGAGTTCTTACAATGTAATATCACTCTTGCCGAAAAGAGCATAGATGAGAAACAAAGACTTCAAGCAATTACACAACGCGAACAAACTGTGAATGAAATATTGGCGAATCTAGAGGAAAGTTCTAGCGATTCCTGTTAGTTTTGTTCCATTTTTCATTTTAACCGCTTAATAATTTTAATTTATTCTATAATCTATCAGACTTATATGACAACTTTTTTATTTGTCTGAATATACGTAGTACTTAGTGCGTTACTAATTCGTGTTTGAAATGTGGCTTACAACTAGAATTTAAATCAATACATTTAGTACGGACTGAAGTTCAAACAATAAGTGTTGAATGTTTTGTGGGTTTAAGCAGATCGATGCAGTTATTTTTGCTAGGTTGGACGCAGTCTAAAACCGGCTTATAGTATGGTATGGTTTAGCTTCTAACCTGATCGATGCAACTTCACAGAAAGAGATAACGTATGTTGAAGTTGCGCACATGCTATTATGGAATTGTTTGAGAACTTTTCTCCTATTTTCCAATTTTCCTAGGCTTTGGAGCGTAGTAATTTTTCAGTAAAATTTATAAAGATGGTATCAGTTTTGTTTTGTGTAATCAACTCCTACTGCGATTTTCAAACAAGATCCCTGTATTTTTACAGAAGAATTGCACACCTGTGGAAGTTGTGCACCTGCTACTAGGTATTGTATAATAATTTTGTTCCCATTTTTTAAGACTTGAGAACTTAGTGATTTGTAAGCACAATTTACAAAAGACAGTACCTACCTTGTGTAATCAATTCATCCTACAGTTTTTTATTCGGATGTTTCGCAAAAGGATTGAACACATGAGGAAGTTGTGCTCATTCTATTTTGGAATTGTTTGGGGAATTTTACTCCTTTTCTCAGACTTTACAATATTTGTTTTCACTGCAGATCTTTGGAACTTCAAAAAGTGTTTGCACCTACCATTATGTAGTTATGTAAAGATTTATTCCGTTTCCCATTATATAATTCCATATATTCAAATGTTCAGTCAGTATCAGCCGTTCTTCGTTGTTTTAGAAACATTCTGCACAACCCGACCATATTCGGCTTTAATCCTTTTTGGCCAGGTTGGACGAAGTCCAAAACCCGATTCAAATATATATAGAAATGTCAGGCGGGATCGAGCAGGAAAAAATGGAAACATAATTTGTGTAATCAACTTCTTCAATTTTAAACGCAAAAGGGTTGCACACTTGTTACAGTTGTGCACTTGCTATTATATGGAATTGTTTTGGGAGTTTTGTCCTACTTTTTCCCTACTTAGGAATTTCGTCATCATTCAAAAAAATTTACAAAAACCCTGATAGACAGACTTGTACACCATACAATGATACCATGCGCAAAAATGTAGTTAGTTTATTGTTTATAGTATCTGAGAAAGAAACATAATTAAGAAAAATGAACATTGATCAATGACCAATAGAAATGATGTCATTGTGAACCCTGCCTCACAACATGTAGACCCTGCAATTATTCCAAACACCAAATATAATTGACCTTTTGCTGATGTTAACTGACAAATAGACATGACAACGAAAACTTAACATTGATAAATGAACCACGCAAAAAAGTCAAGGCCAGTTGAAACCTGACGGACAGACATGTACATCTTGCAATCATTCCATACACCGAATATAGTGGTTATATTGCTTATAGTATCCTAGGAATATATCAAACTAGACAAACACTGATCAAAGAACAACGAAGATGAGGTCAAGGCCAAATGAAACCTGCCAGCCGGACATGTACACATTACAATCATTTACGCTAAAAAATGTGATATATTGATATAGTATCTGATAAAAGGACAAAACATGAAAACTTAACACTGACTAATGAACCATAAAAAATGAGTTCAAGGTCAAATGAAACCCTCCAGTTGGACATGTACACCTTCAAAATCATTCAATACACCAAATATAAATGATAGTTGACCTATTGCTGATACATGTTGTATCTGAGATACGGACTTTACAACGAAAACTTAATCTTGATCACCTATCCATGAAATGAGGTTGAGGTTAGTTGAACCTTGTCTGACGGACATGTGGACCTTGCGAGTATCCCATATACCAAATATAGATATTCTACTATTACTCGTAATAAGTGAGTATTGCACATGACAATAAACTATTAGACATCTGCATATAAGGTATGAGGCATCCAGGTCTTCTACCTTCTGAAATATAAAGTTTATACAAATAGTTAATGCCGCCGCCGCAAGAATTTTGTGAAATACGTCGCTCAAGTGTAAACAAAGTAGTTCAAGACTATAAAAAGCGTATTCTGGAAGTTTTGTCAATATCATAATTTTTTGGTGATGAAAAAATATAGAAATCCTGTATATTTCATAGTAACATGATTCTCAAGATTCCCACCTAAATATTCTTTGTCATAAGATCACGTATATACACATATCCCTTACCTATCATACGACTGATTTGAGTTATATTTCATGGTCTTAATGATATAATGTTTTTCAATATACCTTGCAGATGAACTTTCTATGAATGCGCACATTTAAAGAAACGTAACGGATTCTTGTAGAAGAAAGAATGTATTCATCAAAAACCATTTAGCAAAATCCGTAATGTAAAAAAACATGAAGACCTTTTACTTCAAAATATAAAGTATCATAGCTCGCCGCCAAAGTAGCTGACCATCTCATTTTAAAAATGATTGAAACTAAATGATAATTGATAAAAAAAAATCATTTTGAAAAAGAAACGATCAGGTAAAAAAGAAAAACATTTACTACATCGCATTTGCACACCCTTTTAAGCAGATACGCGAAAGAGCAAAGCCCAAGTTAACAACAAAAGAGACATCCGGGGGTCACTGTACGTCCCCACAGAATAACAAATTGGCCATGTTGTAAAGTAAGTTTTAAATTAAACGATAGGATATTTATAAATTCCACAAACATATATGTCACCAAGTTTTAATTGAGTATTGGGACCTTTGACACGACCTTAGACGAAGGTAGGAAAACAAATCACGAATAAATATTCTAAGGAAAAAAAGTCAGAAGAAAAAGGTCACAGGACATAAATTCACTACAATTTAGAATTTTGAATATAAATACCTTTCAATATATTTTTTATTAAGATGTATGTAGAAACATATATATGTATTATACATGTATGTCTCTATCGTATGTAAAAAGTAACAAGAAAATTATTTGACCTACATTTGTATGTAGTAAATTATATCAAATGAATATTTTTTCCGAATATTTCAATATATTTTAATGGTAGAATACAGAGGTATGGTTTTGTTTATTGTAATTTAATAAATTTTCTAAGATTTAAACAAAATGTTGTCCATAACAATGTCAAGTTCTAAAAACAATTCAATAGACGGTTATTAACTAATTACCTGGCTTTAATATGCTATTTTCCTGTCAATCGTCTCATGTCTGGACAGATTAACAATCAAAACTTAAAACTTAAAACATTTTGTTTTCTATGATATGTCATTTATTAACCATTGAAAAATCGGTTTACTCCTGGTTTGCCCACTTTTAATTCCACCAATTATTCATAAGTAAAGAAAACGTAAAAGACAAAAGGTTTAATGAGCATACAACTATATTGTCTGTTCCAACTTAGGTATATAGTTTATCAGTGTTTTCTATATATATTCAGGTATTTTTTATTTTGTAATTCCATTTTCATAAATGTATAGATACATTATAAATAAATGATATATTTTTTCTCTCAATGATTTAACATACATGTAAAACAATGGCACTAGCCTGTTTTAAAAATTATATAAAGTATATTAAAAACAATTAAACAAATTTCGTGCGCAGGGTTTTGGGGCCGCTGAAGGCCCGAAGAAGCTGTTGAAAAATGTATGCAAATCATGCATTATGCGCATTTCCCAGAATCTTTCTTGATCAAAATTGCAAGTTCTGTTTTAATTATTTTTTGACAATATTTTGGTCTCAAGGCAAAATATATAGTTTCAGTGTAAGACTTTTAGTTTTTAGGGACATCAAAAGACCAATATGTAGGATAATGCAAAAACATGTTACAGTAGTTCACATATAGTTTTATGGATGTGGCTGCTATTTTTTTTAGATAAAAAATCCTTAAAAAAAATAAAAGTCAAGTTAAATGTTTTTTTACTAAATTACAAATGGAAAGCAACACTCAGAGAATAAAGTAAATGTTCCTGAGACAATATACCTAAGTTAAATGAAACCCATTTTCAGACATTTAATTCAAGTAAATTAATATTTATACATTATATTATTTAAAGATTTGGGAAGATTTTCCCTAAACAAAAATGAAAAAAAAACAACGAAATTTGGAAGAATCTGGTGCCATCTCATACTTTAGAATAGCATTTATAAAATGGCTTAAAAGACCTGCCGAGTTATTTATTTTCAAACTACTACAGGACAAACCATTATTTTGTTCTTATTATCAAGGCTGAGTTATTTATTTTCAAAATCCCCCCCCCCCCCCCTACAATATCCAATGGTCGTCACCTAATATATGAATCAAGTTTATGAATGCATTGGATAAGGAAATAAATAAAGCACTATGGTAAAATAACAACCCGTTTGTTTTTTTTTAAAGAAGAAAATACTAGCTTGGATGCAGATTACTGTTTAAATTATTTCATTTGTAAAGCTTGGCTACTGAACAGTTGCATTTGTATTCTATTTGTCAGAATTTTTTGTCAAATTCAATACATTTTCCTGATAAAAACTATATTAAAACTTTTGAACATTTTCATTGATTTAATATCAGAATATAGTATTTGATAAAATTTTACAGGTAAAATAAAAGGTAAAAAATATGACTATAATTCAGAAATAAACTATAATTGTTAAAACAACAATCCACCCTATGTTTACATATGCATGTAATTAAAAGTGGGCAAACCAGGATGACACCGAAAAATCTGTATAACTTTAAAAGAAGAAAAACTTAATGAAATTCTATTAAACATTTGTACAAACATGCACATTATTTTCTGTCGGATTTGTGACTTTCCCCCTACATTTATCAAATTTGTAAAGTATTTTCCTACCAAATTTCTGACTTTTTGCCATTTACCCCTTTGATATCCATATCTTCCGAGTTTAACTAGTATATGAATACGCAACAAGACAACCTTACTTTGACAAGGAATATACATAAAATTGAGAATGGAAACCGGGAATGCGTCAAAGAGACAACAACCCGACTGAAGAGCAGAAAACAGCCAAAGTCCATCAACGGGTCTCAACACAGCGAGAAAATCCCGCACCCGGAGGCGGGCTTCTGCTGGCCCCTAAACAATAATGTATACCAGTTCAGCGAAAATGGACGTCACACTAAACTCCGAATCATATAAACGAACCAAAATAAAAAAAAAAACCAACATACAAGACTAACAAAGGACAGCCGTTCCTGTTTTATGACAGGCGCAAAAAATGCGGTGGGGTTAAACATGTCTTGTGAGATCTCAACCCTCCCCTATACCTCTAGCCAATGTGCAATAAACAAACACACAACAAAACGCACACTAAAATTCAGTTTAAAAGAAGTCCGAGTCCGATGTTAGAATAGGTAACAGAAGAAACTAAGCAACAATAAGCAACACAAATTAACAAAGGACTACTAGCAGTTACTGACATGCCAGCTCCAGACCTCAATTAAACAGATTATAAGATTATGTCTTCATCACATGAAAATCAAGCACAATCCCTGCCGTTAGGAATTAAGTATCATACCATAATAAAATATACGATATAAGAACACAACCCGTATCATGCCAGCAACTGGTTTTATAATAAATGTGTTTATTTCCGATGCAAAGACCCTAATCAATATTAATTCCAAAAAATGTCATCTTTAATGACCTGACAACAGTTTCGTAACCATATCCCTTTTGAATAAGTCTCTTTAAAGGTTTGGTTAGCTTTTGAGGTATATGACGACATTTTTGTGCTTTGTATAGAATATTACAATAAAAGA